AAGTAATGAATAGTCTTTTCTATATCCCATTCAAATCAAATAAACTCCCATGCTTTCTGTCTCTCTTTGCCTTCATAGATGGGCCAGTCTGTCATGCACTGTTCTGCTGATTATCTGCTCAGAGACAGTTTTCCTTTCAGAGGATTAGCAAAGTTGTATGAAATATGTGAACAGCTAGAGAAAGACATCTAGGGATAGTGCGAGAAAGCCAAGTGACTTTTAGAAAGGTCAACAAAAATATTAACTCCTTGGTTGCTGTTATTTTATAAGTACACTTTTGTTTAAAGCACCTTTGATATGTGAGTCTTAAGTCTATGAGTACTAGTTACTTAAAGGATTTACAACCCTTCTATGAGATGAAGGATTTTATAAGTGAGAAGCAGAGGCAAAGAGACTGCGGGCAACAAATCAGTGACAGAATCAAGAAAAGAACTGAGGAACCTATCTCCTGCACTTCCTTGGGGTTTTATTTGTTTGGTTTTTTCCCCTATATGGCAAAAATGGATCGTTTAAGTCCCTGCACCTCAGAAAGCACCTGATTCTCCCAACTGTACATAAAAATGCTAATTCAGAACAAATGACACAACCCAGTTCATAATCCCCTCTTTTCTTTTTTTTTTTGGAAATCTTGGATATCCCAGCTCTGTTTCTAGTTAAGCAAATTGTCCCGATTATGGTAGAACAAAGAATGTGTTCTCAGAGAAATACTGCAAAACTTATTTTAAAAAGCACCCACTTAACCATAGCTATGATGAATTTTCTTCTTTCATCATTTGATCCAGGAGATTCTCCCTGCATGTCATGGCTTATGGAGGCAGGTAATTTGCTGTTGCCCATGAAGTATTCTGCAGGCCATCAGTGCTGTCTGTCTACTGCTGTGATGACTCTTTGGGCTTCCTCTGCCTTTTTTGCCCCCCAGGAAAAAATAAATTTACCAGTTCCCTTGATGACTTAGTCTGATTCAGAATCTCCAATTTCAAAATCAATTAAATATTACTTGTTTGATGGCAAACCACAATATCTCTCCATCTTTGAGGTCAGGTGAAGTCACCCTAAATTCTGGGCACTGCCACTAGCTCGTGGGGAAAATTTCTGAGATCCAGACTGTTATTCCTATTTACTAGCACTGAGGAGAGCAGCTATTCACAGCAGCCTTGAAAATCGTGATGTGACGTCCTGGGTCACTGAGGTCCACGGGATTCCTGCATTCAGGCCAAGAGTTCACTTGCAGAGGGTAGGTGGCCAAATAAAGGTCTTTGCACCTCCACTTTGAAACTCATCCGCATAGAGTATGTCCATCTCTGAGACAATGCTGGCTGGCAGGTGTTACGTGTTTATAGACTTCTGGTTTTGTGGCAGTGGTGAGGTGGTCAAGCCCTGAGAGGACCACCTGCAGCGGCGCTGCTGCGAGGGTGGCTGCTTGCAGGCTGCAAACCCTCCCCGAGCCAAGCCGCTTCGGTGGCAGGCAAATTGTCAGCCTGCTGCCACCCCATTCCTGGCAAGCGCTGATGAAATGGTACATAGGAATGCTTGTTTTTGTGCTTCTTCTATGAATCTCTTAGTAGAGCCAAACTGAAATATAGCACAAATTTCCAGTTCTGTATTAAATCCACTATGGATGTGTTGGTTACGTTTGTGAAGTGCTTTTAGGCTGTGGCTTAAGTGGTGCCCTAACCAGGCCAAGTGTTTTTAGGCCTTCTAACACCACACTGAATTTGCTTATTAATTTGCGAGTTGTTCTATTTAAAAATGTATAAACATTAATGAATTTTGGTGAAATCCATGTGGTAACCCAGTCCCCTTTCTCAGTTGGTATTTAACAAGCTAAAGAAGACTAAGTTTAATGCTGAATTCATATATTTAATATTTTAGAAAACAAATGCATGTATTTTTTTAAATGTGCAGTTCCAGCCTATTTCTACATAGAGCTCTTTCATTGGACCTTCTGATTCTGTTGCACATGTGGGATAGTTGTGGGATTTATTATAAATATAGATTGAAAGTGGAAACTCATTTGCCTTGATAATGCCAGGTAACCACTTAGCCTGAGTGATTAGGCACCTTTTTAAAAAAAAAAAAAATCGAAAAAATAAAAACATGCCACGATGATGACGGTGACTTGCCAGTTAAGCAGAAATGATGAGAAGTCGAGGCTGATGGTTAATACTCGCCTGAAAAATGACCTTTGCTGCAGTTGTTAACTCCTTGGCTCAGAACAGTAAAATAAAAAGCACAGTGCTGTGTACTTTGCAGCTGTCCTACCAATGCTTGCACAGATCGAACATCATGGACAAAAGTGGCAGAGCTGCAAAGCCCTGACTTCAGCAGCAGCCCCATGTGCCAAAGCTTGCAAGATTCAGTGATGCTCCTCTCGCCAGAAAATGTTATTTTGTGGTTTGTAATTTGGCTCCTGGAGATACAGCAGTATATCCAGACACTGCTAAAAATATGGTCCTTCATTTTCTTCTGGCAGGTTACAGTAGTAAAGAATATTTATAAGGTGTGTGTCATCCTTGAATTAAAAGAGGACAAGGTTTTTTTACCCTGATGCTTAGTTTAGGATAATGTTGAATTTCCATCAGGCCTTGTACAGCTTGGTGAAAGCTTTCCTGAAAATAGGAATTATCTGGGGATTCTTTGCATCAGAGGGCTAATGGGTGGTTGAAAACTTGATATAAGAAATAAACTATAAATATGATATTTTTGTCACAGCCCCAGTGATTTTTGGCAAAACCTCCTGTTGCTTAGTAGCTAGATAGTTTGAATCTGTTTTACTCCTGCCCTTTCAAAATTACTTGACAAAGCTGCTTATTCTCCCTTTAGGGCAAATGGGTCTCACTGACACAACTTAAACTTTTTACGTTGGTATAAATATGTAGGTATCCCTCTTTCCACCCAACTGCCAGTCCATGACTGCTAAGAAGAAATGAATGTATTCTGCTAAAACTTCTCAGTAAATTCAGCTCAGTGATGTTTACAGGTAACTGGACGCTAAATCACTGCAGGATGATCATGATAGAGAAATGCATTCCTTCAAGCACTGTTTCTCAAAGCTTTTGGAGGTACAGCCTCTTTTTGATTGATCTCTGAAGGCCTGAATAGTGGTTAGAATTTCAGAAGATTTTTTTTTCTGACACTTCAGAGCCTCCTTTGAATCCTGTTGTGATCCATAGTTTGAAAAAAGAATACATTAAAAAACAATCTCTGGTGGGCAGCTTCCACCAGATATTACTGTGATTAAGAAATAACTTATTGACAATAGTTTATTAGTTTTTTTAATTTCTCAAACCTTTTCCTCTGAGAAACTTAAAGCACTTAGCTCCACAATAACTGTAATATATAATTTAAGCTGTTATCCTCTAAACTGAATGAGAATGTAGAATTTAGTAAGTCAGAAGAGATTTAATTTTTGTTTTATTGAGATAGGACTGTTGTCTGCATGAAAGGTTTCAGTGCTGCAAATAGAAGACGATTAGATTCCTGAGGGGCATGGTTAATTCGCAGTTGTATTCATTTGTAAAACAGAAACAAATGTCATGTCTTGTACACCAAAAAGGGCATGGGGCCTTCATAATGGGGCAAAAAAAAATAAACCGAGCAGCTTGCTAATAACTTAGTTTGTGTGCTTAAACAAGGCAACAAGAATACTTTTGCACACAGTGTCCCCGTAAGAAATTAATGAACTTGGACTAAACAGATACAAAACACTTTATTATATACTTTTATTGTCCAGTTCTTAAAATGATGTATTAGTGATAGAGATGTGAAGTACTAATAATACTAATAGAACACTATACTGAACATCCCACTGTGTAGTACAAGGCAGGTGACATATAATTCACTGATTAATATACTGATATTAGCAGACAAAGGAATGTATTTGAGTTCAGGTTGTTCTGAGAATTATTTTCCCAATATGAGATTTCTGATACCTGTCACTTCTTCAGCTTACTAGATGAAATACTTAGTATGATACTGGATACTTTGCTTTGTTGAAAGGGCTGCCTGGTTTTTGTAGTAAAGTGTATTAAACTTTCATATTTGTTTCTGCTGTGCAAGTTTATAGCATTCTCTCTTTCTTTAGTGAGACCTCTTAGAGAAAGAACCTTAACAAAGAAATAGGTATTTAACTGTACGATCTGTATTTGAGCCTCCAAAGAAAGGTTAGGAAGGAGATGGCAACAGATTGTAGGAGAAAAGGAAATTTCCTGGCCCCTTACTTCATGTGCGAATCACTTAGTCCTGAGGTATTGAAGGTGTCTTCTAAGATGTTAATGCCTCATCTCAGGCTTCTTGGCCTGGATTTTCTCTGGTGCAGAGCATTCAAATACATGCTAACTTAGGAAATACTTCAGACCTCAGCCCAAATTTTCAAGTGAGGCCTCTAATTCAGAGCAACTGTTTGACAGGTTTTTTTGAGGTATCTGTGCCAGCTTCTCAAAAGTGCCAGACCCAAGACAGCTAAGCGGGAGCAGTGGAGGAGACGTGTCCCTTTTGATGACTGATGTCCCTAACTGGTCACCCAAAAAGTGAGACACAATGTGTGTTTGAAAGTGAGGACAAAAAACTTACCTAAGGGTAGGCAGACTGACTGTAAGTACCTACAATTTTTTTCCCTTGAATTTGAGATCTGTATCCCAGCCATCTTATTCTCTAGCAGCTGATGTTTGGGTTATCCAAAAGCAGAAAACTGATCACACACTAAATAATTCAGAGTGAAATACTAACGCAATTGCTTTCAATGGCAAAATTCCCACTGACTTCTGTGTGGGCAGAAACGTGCCTCATATTAATTCTGCTTTCGTTTGTGTGTGTTACTGCTTCTCTATTCTGCCATCTTAGGTAATAATTTGTTCCAGCTTTAAATGACCATAGAGAAGCTTTTTAGAGCAAATTTAAAGGTTGACTGAGGCTTGGAATTTTAACTCTATGACTTTCCATTACTTCAGCCATGCTATTATATACAGCATACCATGTGTACAGAATAAAATACAACCTACCTAGCGTTGGGTCATATTCCCAGATGAACCGTTTGGTCAGGAAGCGTACAACGAGAGCTGGAGGAACAAAAAGATTCCAGGTGAGATGCACAAGCCATCAACTCATCTGGTTTTTAAAGCTTTCCCAGCAAACTTTTCTGTGTGAACGAGCATGTAGCAGCTCCCCTGAACTGAGCAGAAGTCAGTGTTGCTTATTGCAGCAGTTGAGACCTTTTCTCTGTTTGTGGCCTGCTTTACACTTTTGGAGGGGGGAAACAAAATGGAAAAAACAAAACTCTTTACAGTGTTAATCATTTACCCATGTAACAACACAGGACAAAGAGTACCAGGAGGTTTCCGATGGTAGTCTCTAACTTTTTCCACTTTTTTTTGTCACAATAGTTTCTACCATTAAAAAGCCAAACCAACCCCATTTACAGTGCTATGAGCAGATGACCCTTGAAAAAACGACTATTTTGGATGCTTTAGATTTCCCATAGCCAGTGGAAAAAGGGTTAGAAGTTTCTGAACCAGGATGCTTTGAAACTTCAAAACTAGGGGGGTTCAAAATAATTTAATTCTTGAAAACTTTCCCTTCAGATTTTAAACCTTGTAAGGTGAACATATAATTGGCTAAATAGCTTCCTTCTGTATTTTGGCATGCCTTCCTTGCAACAATTTATCTTCCATGTTTTGCCTACCTGTCACTTGAAGCAATCAGCTATAATGTTCTAAACCAATGGTCAACAAATGCTATTAATGAATTTGCAGAAGTAGAAATAAAGCTTTAGATTTTGGAGCACTGCATAACTAGTTCTCAGTTTTGGTTTATGGCCTAAGGTCTTGCTACTTACGTTCTTATATTTAATTTTTTCTATCCCTCCACCCCCTTTTAAAAACAACCTATAAAGGTTTTGTCAGGACATTGATTATGTTCTAATTTAAAACTAAGCAATGCCTTGAATTTCTAGTGGTATAAACAAAGCGTTCACCACTGGCAACTATTCAAAATCCTTTCTGCATTTCTAAAACGGAGCTAGAGATATCACTGCACTAGCTATGATCGCAGTGATTTCAGCTATAGGAAAAGTTTTCCCTGTCAGCCCTACAGGATTGTTCTGTTCTTTCAGTTGCAGATGAACAGTAAAAGGTGACAGCTAAACCCAGTTCTGATCCTTTTCAAAATTAAAGCCATGGGAATGCCCCACATCGCAGATTTCTGTGCCCAAGACTAGGACAAGGCAATACTCTGCAGAATGAATATAATTAAGCTTTCCTTAATCGGAACCTATTTTTTAAATACAATCAGAACACTAGTTTTCAACAAGATTTAACTATGCCTCACACTTGGAGGGGTAATAAGAAGCTGATCCTAAGGAAATGAGATCACTACATAAGAAGCAATTTTAAATCGTTGTTTTTTTAAGTTTCTGTTTTCCCTAGGAAATCCTATTTTTAAATTTTTTTTTAGCCTTTGCAGAAATGCTCTCCTTGGCCCTCAGAGTGAATGTGGCAATTCTTAGCCAAAGTAACTTTTCAAGTCGTGGTCCTAATGTGGATGTTGTTATACTGCAAGAAGATCTCTGTGTAGTTCATTTTCCATCCATGATGATGTCTGTACCAGGACTTTTTTCCCCACATTTTACCTCAGCTGGAATAGTTTAAACATCTCGATGTTTCAAAAGTTTGGTCATGATTCTTCTCTAATTGCTAGTAATTGGTTCTCTAATTGCTGGTGAAATAATAGCATGTTCTTTTTTTGTTCTTTTTCTATTTTGACTGGGAAAGTGATGCAGGGTAAAAGTTTTCCTGACATGATTTCAGAAGACTCCTTGCCACCTTCCTTTTCAAGAACAGATTTTAAAAATGCTTTCTTCTTTCACAACTGTACTCTGAAGGAGAAGCAGAGATGTGCTACCTGTATTGCAGTGCCTTACCCTGAGCCTGTACCTGTACCTGGAGTCGCTAATGGAGAGAAAAGGTGTAAGAGCGGGGGAACCTGTCCAACTATCTTCATATTTAAACATGGTCCACTTATAGTTATGATAACCTTGTACTTGTAGATGAAAATTGCTGGAGAGGAAGGTCCAGCAAGTGATGAAGGGGACTGGAAGAAAGTCTGTCAAGCACTAATGTCTGAGACAGGTAAGAAGGCAGCAGCTCTGAAGGGAAAGAGGGGAGAAGAGCTGATTTTGGAGGTAGCCCAAATGAAGGAGGTGAGAAGGTGACAAGCGATAAGAAGGAAAGGTAAAACTGGACCGCAGCTGCTGAGATGAGCCTGGGAGAAAAGAGGTTCAGCTATGTACACAGGATGAAATGGTACAGGCATTGAGTGCTGCAGAGGTGAAGAATTAGAGATCACAGACATAAGCTCTGGTGAGGAGGTAAAAAGTAGGTTGTATTTGTCTCCAGCAGGGAGGCCTGTATGCAGAAATAACAAATAATCACATACGCAGGAGGGAGCTGAAGAAAAGAAAGGAAGGGTGGGAGGCGGCTGCCATGCATAGGGCCAGATGGCAATTAGTCTCCCTCGCTGGCAGGTCTCAGCGGGAAGCACAGCAAGCCCAATGAGTCGCTCACTAGGCACTGCCAGTAATAAAGTACTTGCATAAGGCTTGCTTGGGCACGGTGAAGGGAAGAAAATGCCACCTCAGCACAACCCCAGGTGAGTGGGGAAGTGTCAGCTTCAGAGCCATGTGCTCTGTGCCAGTTTTGGGGGCGCGCACACTCGGGGCCATGCAGAGCTGCTGTTCCTGTGGGGCTGGCTCTGCTCAGCCTCCTCGCTTCTGGCCTGGCCGATTCCCTCAAAATACTCCTGCTCTCCTTCATGGCAATGGTCACAGCCCATCCTAGGGAGCTTTTCACTTCCACACATTTTTACAAGGCTGAAGATTAGCAGCTGGATTTCACAGATGGGGAATATGAGGTAGTCTTGATCCAGTGCCTGTCCTGTTTATAACTATTGCGAACTATGTTGGATGGGAAATGCCTTCAGTTTTGCCTCATTAGGGGTGCTTAGCAGATGGGACCCTGACATCCAGTTGAGTATTAAAACAATGTATGTGACTTTGGTCTCTGATTTGACTGAAAATAGTCAATGAGAGGAGAGCTGGGAAGGGCATCCAACTGCTTGGGCTGTCAATCCGGAGACCAGCTTGCTGGCTCGTGCCACCTGCCTGAGCAATGATCCCCCTAGAGCAGGGGTATTACTGTGAAGCCATTTTGTTTACATTGAGCTCACTTACTGCCCGATTACAACGCTTTTTAGTAAAATAACTTCTGCCAGCAGAAGAATTAGAAGTGAGGACATTAGGAATTCACTATGCTTAGAGCTGTAGCGCTCAGATTTCTGCTGCTGGCATAAATAATGCTCCGGGCAAAGCAATAAAACTTCTCTGTGTCCTTAGCAATGCTGCATAGAAAGACTTGAGATGGGCATTACTTCCTTCTCACCTCAGCAAAGGTGTGTGTACCCTGTTTGACCTGTCAGCCTTATTTAGACATGTTTAACTCTAATACTAATAATGAGGCAAAAATAACCCAACACACTAAAAAAAAACCCACCCAAATGATGGGTTTTGATTCAAAATAACATTGAGGTTGAGAATGTCTGAAACGCATTATTTTCTTATTAAATTAGGTGACTAATTCCAATGTTCATATTAAAATTACCATTTCCAGTGCTTATCCTCAAAGAAGACGAAATGCATTTTGAAGCAGGCAAGATTCAGATCAATGCAGTACCTAATAGGAGTGAATTTCATGGTCCTCCACTGAGACTTTGACAAGGCTCTTCCCTGAACACTTACTGCTTGTGAAATACAAGAACTTGCAGGCTTAGCAGGAAAGACTCTCCAACAAACTGCAATTTGGATTCCCACTGTGTTTTTCGGAGACATGACCATTACCTAGGGGAATTGATGTAATGTCCCAGCAAAGGAAGAACAGACTCATGTCTCTTTCTGCCTTTCCTTACACCCTCACTTCCAAGTCAGCTGTTTTGTACAGGGTTTAAATTAGGGTAGAACTTGGCCCAGGACCTTCATTCGCTCATGTTTAAACCTTCTGCCTTAGAAGTTATTCTTGGAGAAGAAACATGACTGTCAAATACATTTGCAGTGTAACTCCACTGAAGACAATGAAGTTATATCAGGAATTAACTTGGCATATAAACTGAGATTATCAACCACATGATTAACTAACTTCTTTGGGACTTGTGTGGCTGAGTCCCTTACTCAGCTTTAAAAATCTCAGTCCATATCTTTTGGAACATTTGTTTTTGTGGTGTTTTGCGTCTTGCTTTAGATCTTTGTTTGGATTTAGTAACATATAAATGCTCTGGCTAAATTTACAATCTGCCTGAATACATATCTTCATGAATTTGTTATTGTTCCAGCTAATACAAGCTGAGCTTTTGGGGGAAGAATGGAAGCAAGGTTTTTATTTGAAAAACATCCCCCTTCCCCAAAAGCTACAGAGTTCAAAGTTATTCTAAGAAAAATAACAGTTCTCCGCAGTGAAATAACTGTATGATGACTCTTCTATGCCATGAGAATTTTCAGCTATAAAAATGGTCTGAAAGTAGTCCCATTATTTAACTTATCAACAAGTCCATTCCTGGTGCCATGATGATGTGTCATCAGTAAACCATACTTGGCAGGAGACACCAGAGTGGTTAAAACCAGAGGTTATAACGATCAAAAGGCACTTTCATAAATGAAGTATTTAATTTTTTTCAAAACGTATATTTTTGTTAGAGAGTTCATCCCCCATTCACCCTCTCGGAGGCCCCTCATGTATTGGAGTTTCAGTCCCCTTGGAGCATGTGGCGAGCTCCAGCCTGCAGGATGGCGGTGCCACAGGTTTCTGGCATGCAATGTGCTGCCTCCTTAAACAGCTCTGCGTCCAGCTTTGGGAAATAATGGCTTGTTTTAAAGGCACTACCACGAGAATTTAATTTGCTCCTGAAAGTGCAGGTCGTTTGGGGGGTGTGTGTGTGGGCAAGTATGAACTTGTAATGCAGAGTCCTTTTCTGATCATGGTACGTCATGGATGTAAACATGCAGTCATTACTTCTG